CCAGGAAGAACACCAAGATGCCTTCCTGTGGTCAGCAGTGAAGAGGATGCATGGTTTGTTTGTTCCGTGCCCGGATGTTCTGCAACTTCCGGAACGGCGTCCAGAAGTTGTTCTGCGGACAGCAGTGAAGAGGACAGGTGTCTGTTCATTCTGCACCCAAATGTTCCGCGACTTCTGGCCATGTTTGCAAAGTTGTTCCGCAGACAGCAGTGACAAAATGGGCTTGTTCATTTCACGCCCGGATGTTCCGCGACTCCAGGAACAACACCAAGATGCTTGCTTGTGGTCAGCAGTGAAGGCGTGCTCAGTTGTTATGTCAACAGGACTAAGCCATGCTTCATTTATTCAAGGATTCAAGGATCTTCAAGAACAGCATTCCAAATTCAATTGGAAAAACCCACGTCAAGTCCTTCATTCAAACTTAAATGTTCGAAGACCTTGGAAACAGTTTCAACCAAATTTAAAATGGGTTCTTAGTTTATGTTCAGATGTTCTATGATACCAGAGATGACATAATGAATTAATATATAATATATTTTTGTCTCGTAGTGTTTCGTGTCAAGTATAATTTTTTCATGTGTAACATGTTAATATTATAATCACAGAGATAATTATGGTTGAATTAGGATTCACCATATTTAGCCCAATAAAGTTATATTCCACATTACGGAAACTCCGGATACAGAAATCCGTCCATATGGAATTTGTAAATTATGACCACAGATTCACTCTTAAAATCTGCAGCCATTTGCCACTAAGATGGGTGAGTCAGCTCTGAAATGTGCTGCTAGTCAGGTAGCTAGCTTACCACTATGAGAGGAATACACACATGCACATGCGGTGCATGGAATGCATGTGTTCCTGCAATCAATGCTCTACGTCCAGTGTACATGGTATTTGTTCTGATTGTGAACTTCACCTTCTCTCCCAATATTATTCTATAACTGTGTTGCATCGTTAGATAATCATTGTTTGTCATTATTTACTAGCATTCTTAATCATGCTTGTATTAGGGGTGACCAGGAGATTTAGGAGACCTACTTTTTTGGCCAAATTTTGAGTAGGAAATCACGTCGATGAGTAAGCGTGAATATCATTATGGAATTTCACATTACAGAAGATTTTCTGGAATATAGGAGTTCCATAATGCAGGATACTACTGTACTTCAAGTTCCAAACATAACATGACACTAAGCATAATACATTAATGATGGCCTGCTCATTAATTATTATTATTACTATTATTATTATTATTATTATTATAATATAATGCTATTTAGTTAGTGCAAGGAAAGTCTGCATGGTTACATGGTCCAGCAGGTTTCTGCCCTGTAGGTGATAAGCCAGCAACTCACCAATCAGCCAAAGCCTACATTCAAGCATTTCCTGTTGCATGTCGGTCATCAAGAAGTGTCCAGGAATGCTGACTATAACCATGGCGGTGGCAAACAGTAGTGACCGACGGACGTATCTGGAAACGAACGTTAGCAGTGAATGTCTGCATGAATGTCGATGACTCCTCTAGTTTAGTCGGAGCACCGTTCATTTGTAGAATTAAATATTTATCAGAAATTTGGTTTCATGTGAACATGTTTTGTTGCATTCTAGTCAGCATAACAGATACACAGACACTTACGGCTCTGTGTGATATCTCAGTGTCCAAACAAACTCCATCATATGTGCTGCCATCTGGGGAGCAGCCTGCAAAAATGGAAATAAAATTATATCTGACTTGAACCTGTAAGTTGCTACCATATATCTACTCGTATGATTAAACATCGAAATGTTGATTCTCGTTGATTTGGTAGCACTCACAGGGGCATGTTTGCTCGCACCCATGATGGTTCCCAGTGTATAGATTAACCTTCCCAGCATCAGACAGTCTTCTCCAAGAAGATCTAAAGTAGTTTTGTCCCTCCTGCGTACAAACAAATGATAAAAGACAGGCATGAGACATGTTTGATAAAGCTACAGACTGTTCAATTGATAAATTATTGTACATATAAAGATACACGGTTGATGATAAACTATGGTATATGTTTTAACGGAATTGTTTTCGTAATTACAATTACAGATACTCGCGAAATGGCCGCCTTCGGCGGCCATATTTGCTCGTTACGCTGATGAGACTACGATGATTTCTGTAAATCCCAGCCCGATTCATAGTAATCTTTTAGTAAAATATTGACTTGATACGAAGACAATGATGAAAGGAACCTGTTACTAACATAAAATTTTCTGTCCCGGTATTTTCATTTCTATATAAAACACTTTGTACACACCTTCTAATCCATTGTTTTTCTCTTCAAATTAAGGCTAATATAATATACGAAACCCGCTTAATACGATTATTTTTCTTTGGCCCGTCAGTTTCGTACTAACGGGGTGCGACTGTAGTAATGAATAGTAGTAATTGAATGAGGAGTTTAGGCTTTGCAGTAATTGTATCTATTTGTGAACAATTTAACGCTACTAAAGTAAAATAAAATAAAATAAAATA